ATTTATTTATTTATTTATTTATTTATTTATTTATTTATTTATATGTATGTATGTATGTATGTATGTGTGCATGTCCTTATTTTAAAATGACCAAGCCAGCTATCGTCACCTTAAGCTCAGCTGTTCGATGCTCAATGACGCCGGTAACAGAAGCTAAAATACTGGGCAATTCAGGTTGCACATTTCGCTCGACCAATTGACACCGACTGGCACGTCTGAACATGTGACAGCGTCACCGAGCGCTGAGGCTAAGTCTTTCGAGCTCGTGGTATAATTCGGTTCAGAAGAAGGTTCCTCCTTCTGTCGACCTAAGGCTGCCGGCCACTCAGGCACGTAAAACGCCGTTCTGAAAGAAACTACTTCAAGAAGAATGTCTGAAATCAAAAAAGAATAGCAGCAACAAAATAGCCCATCTCAAATCCGCAGATGTTGGAACTGATTTGCAAACTCGCGCATATTCCGTATGAGTTAAAGCTAGGTTACCAAGACTCCTTTAATGTATTGATGCTGATGTACCTTTTATATTTATTTTAAAAGACTTTTGTGTAATTTATGTTGTTGGATTAATTTCATCTTTAAACAAATTGCTGACGCTTTGCAAAAATACAAATATGCCATTTGTAGTTTGTGTAGGTGGTTTAATTTACTTTTGATATGAGTAAATTAGAGATATTCTGTTGTTTTTTATAGGCTTATAATTGCAAAATGTAGATTTTGTGTACATTTTTCGTAAATGATGACTTCTGGCTCGACGAATTTGATCAAATTACTAACGAGAGCCTAGCATGGATTCAACAGCCACAGATCTAAAGTAATCCTCATCGCCTTTTCCAATTGGAGATGAGTTTAGGAGATGCTGCAAATTGTACATTTCCATCTCCCAGAGTGTGCTGGTGGAAAATAATGTTCTGCTAAATAAAAAAACGTTTATTTTCTTAACAAGTCAACTGTCTGCGTCTTCTGTGGTCGTTGTTGCCTCTGTTCAACAATCTCCTAGCCAGAATCCCCGCAAAGTATCCAATTCCGACAGTCCCAACCGCGAGGCTGTGTCTTCTTGGCCGGTTGGAGGGTCCCCTTGGAGACGGAATTGTTTGCTCGGCCCCACTCCTGTCCAACCCACTTCTCTGCGATACAGTATTTGCAGACAACCGGTGCTCTGAAAAGTCAACGAGAGACCAGCTACGCCGGTTTCAAGTTGCACACGACGGTCAGGCGGTCTGACTTTCGACTGTACCGGGCGTCGGAGGGCGACTAGTGAGCGTT